CCCTTCTTAAGCTCTCTCTCTCTCGCTCGCTTGCTTACTCTCCCTCAAAGAAATACATAAAATCTTAAAAAAAAAATAAAATTCTCCAGCGAGTAGCAAATGAGTGCTGTCAACTATGGTGCAAAGCATTTGGTAGAGGGAGTGATTGCTGTGAATTTGTACCCTGGGGGAAGACTACAGATGGTAGAAGCCAAAGGATGAACTGAAGGCAGGAGAGAAGGAGAGGAGATGGCATTCCTGCTGGATGCACAGCTGAATCAAAGGTGTGTCAGTGGAAATGCAGAGAATGTGTTCAGAGAGCATGTCTTCGTCCATGAATCTGCTTCACTGATTTAAATTCCACTGAGATGGGTGGGTGGTGAGGAAAGTGGTCTCCATAGTCTCGCTGCTGGTCTGAGCCTGTCTGCCTGTCTCCTCATGTGTAACATAAGAAACAGCCATGAAGACTCTTCCAGCTCCAGACTACACCTCCAAAGCCCTTGATGAGGGCCCTGGTTCACAGCTGTTTTTTATGTCACTCATATTTCTGTATGATTAAAGGTTTCCTGAATCCCCATATCCATCTAAAACCTTTCTTATTATATAAGATAGGATGTATTTGAATGTAGCCAATAGCACACACATACCCTAAACCAAACAACTTAAGCAACAAATTGGGTTTTTGCTCATGAGATTTGTCAGGGAGGAAAAAACCTTTTTCTCTACTCTTAAGTTACAACCTGGGGTGTGTGAATTAAACTGGTGGATGAAAGATTAACAGGAGAAAGGGCTTATTTTGTCTGCATATGGAGGGCATCACAGAAAAGAAATGAAAATTCCCCAAAGTGCTCAGACCTAGGAGCTTACATACCATTTTAACGAAGGGTGATAAATTGCAGAGGAGACCAGACAAAGGAAAAGGAGCAGTATATTGTGAGAAGGTAAATATATGAGGGAAATTAATAGAAGATGAGGGGTTTTTTAGACTCTCCAGTAATAAGGACAGTTCTTCTGTTGGTAGGGGAGAGGAGAGAAGAAGCACCTTCACAAAGGGAAATTTATGTCCTGCTTTTAGGTGGATGGGGGAGAGAAAAGTGCTCTGAGTTTGCTTCTTCTTAATTGCCTTCAGGTTAATTTAATTCTCATGTCAGAGTGGCATATTTTGGGGTGGAATACTCTGATCCCCTCAATCAACAAGAAGTGGTTCTGCCAGTCTGGATGTGCTCTGTCACTCTGGGCTGCCCTCACTCATCCATCTATGATCAGCTAATGAGTTGGCTGGGGTGGGCTGGGGCCAGGTGACCCCACTCCCATGTCTGGTGGTTGGCTGGCTATTGGCTGTGGCACTGGGTTTGACTGGGTCACCCCATCATTCAGCAGGCTAGCCTGGGCTTGCTCACATGACAGCAGCAGGGTCCCTGGAGTAAGACTGGAAGCATGCAAGGCCTTTTGAAATCTAGGTTTGAAGTAACAAAGTTAATTCTGCAGCGTTTTGTGAGACAGAGCAAGATACGAGGGCAGCCATATTAGAAAGGTGGAGAAACAGACTCCAGCCTTGCTTGGGGGTTGCTGCAATGTGACATTCCAAGGTGTAAGAGCAGGAGGGGAAGCATTTGTAACTATCTTAAAATTTCTCACACCGTTTTAGGTAAAGAGGCTTTCTCACTATTCCTGGAGCAAGACCCCTGCATTTGTTCAATGTATTTTTTCCTGGCTCAGAAGTCAGCTCTTCACCCATCTTGGAGTTCAAATTCCATCCCTTCTGCAAGGCCCATCTTCAAAACTAATTTATCCATGGAACTTTACCCCATCCCTTCAACTAAATGCGGTTTCTCATTCTGAAGAGTTGAAATATTGCCACAGACTCTACGAGTCCATAGATTCTGAACTATTTGTAACCACAGGTACAGTTATATGCAATTGAAACAATCTTTTTTTCATCTTAGTATAAGAAATGACTATGATTTAGGGTGATAGTTTCTATTAAATTGAATCTTCTGTGATTTCTTCATTCACTTCTGCTGTAAAAGCTGGCATTCATAGCTACCTGCTATAGCTTTGTAGCAAAATTTCTATGTATGACCTTTGTGATTATCTTTACTGTTACTTTGCAGTTCAGGTTTCACTCAGGCTTTTTCAAATTATCTTTGCATTTAAGGTTTAGAATTTTAGAAGATCCTAAATTTACCTTTATATTTTATGACTTAGAAAATGAAAATGGTTCTGGTTTTGGATTTGATATCTGTAATTTCTGTCTCTGAGACTACTATGCATTTGTTTGAAAACCAGAACACTTATTTTTGTTTATTGGCTCAACTGCATCGCCCCTAAATTCAGCTTGAGTTCTATGATGTAAGATACCCCCACAAGGAGATATTAAGTGTACTATGTGATAGAATGCTTGAGATCGGTACTTCTAGCACATAGGAAAACAGATGGGTTTCTGAGATGTCAGTTGTATCCTATGTTCCAATTTAAGTGTGTCCGTTTGCTGTTTATCAAGGTTTTTTAAAAGTCATGTTTGTGAGAGAGTAAATCAATTTTATTCCTTAAAGGCCAGGGGAAGAAATGCATAGCTGGATATATAGCTGATAGGGATGTTGTATTTTCTTTTTTTTTTTCTGATGATCGTATTTTAAGATGATTCAAATATTTTGTGGTGGAGTGAACATTCTATTCTAGTGCTAGCTCACTTTGAAATGAACAAGCTAAGACTCAGGGAGTTTCGATCACTCAGAACTATTTGGCAGTAAAGAGATTGCTAAACATCAGAAAAAGAAAAAAGAACAATAAATGAAGACCCAAATAAACTACATCAAAACAAGCAAAATACCCCCCCCCCATCCCCACTGCAGTGTCCCTTTGTGAGTTGAGGCCTTACTGCCTAGTCAGAAGCTCCATGCCAGATGTCTGGAGTCTAGTGTGTCTGTGGGGCTGCGGGGTTGCAATGCTGTTTTGTGTCAAATGGCAATGTCACAGAAGGTCAGTGGGTTTATGGGCATGTGTAGGCTGCTGGAAATAAAGAACGAAACTTCACAACCAACCAACCAATAAAACCCCAGGCAGAGCAAATCGCTTTAATTAGTAAGAGAACTCCTCCTACAAAGTTTAATTCGTCGTCTTTCAAAAACTGAGCTCTGGCGCTGCAGGGCGTGGGCCCCTCAAGTGTTCCGTGCGCCCAAACCCCCGCAGAGTGGTCAGGAGCAGTGGTGGCGGTGATTGGCGCGGGTGCCGGCCTACACCCTACCAGGAGGGAGGCGCGAGCCTGTTTGTCCCCGCGCAGCTCCCATATAAGGCGGACCCCGCCCCCGCCTGGGGTGGCGAAGGCGGCGCGCGGGCTCCCTGGCGGCGCCTCTAACCAGCCCGCCCCTACCGCGCATGCTCGGGACGTCCCGGTCCATCTTCCGGCGCTCCTTGTTTTCCTGCAGCTCGCGTGGTCAAATCCGCACCCAGCCTTGCGCCAGCAAAGTGGGGGAAAACCCAGGGTTTTCAGGGTTCTGGAAGCAAATGGGAGGCAGATTCCGGGCTAGCTGCCGGGCTCTAGGGAAGCTGATGAAATAGTGATTTCATATCTGAGTGGGTCACATTTGCCGACATCATCTCACCTAATGCATTAGTCAACTCCATGGAGTTGTTTCTATTGCTGTAAGGCAAAAGCCTTCGCGGTGCCCCGCAATGCAGACTGGAGGACGACCAAAGCTAGTGTTAGTGAAGGAGCTGGGGCTCAAACCCAGCAGTCCAGCCTCCACTCCCCGTGGCTTCCCGTCAGCTGCCCGAAGGGGCAGTAAGGGTGGGGTCCTGGGGCTGGGCTGGGGTGGGTTGTTTGTGCTGAGGGGCCCTGAGTGGGGTGGTAGGAGGAAGGCAGAGCTCAGGTCTTGGTTAGGGCCCGCAGGTAACCTGTGGCTCACAGGGGGGCTCCTGGGTGTGTGTGCACAAATGCTTGAATGAATGGCTGAATGAATTTACATTCTTCAGAATAGGGAGGTGGTGGGGTGGGGTGGGATGCGGGGGAGAAGGACTCAGGAAAAGAGGCTAGGTCTGCCCTCACTTCTTAGGTCCTAAGTTGTTTTTTTTTTTTTTAAGATTTTATTTATTTGACAGAGAGACACAGCGAGGGAGGGAACACAAGCAGGGGGAGTGGGAGAGGGAGAAGCAGGCTTCCCACGGAGCACGGAGACCGATGCGGGGCTCCATCCCAGGACCCTGGGATCATGACCTGAGCCGAAGGCAGACGCTTAACGACTGAGCCACCCAGGCGCCCCTTAGGTCCTAAGCTTTAAAGAGAAGGTCGCTCTCACCCCTGAATACGTTATGATTAACTGAAAAAACAACACAAAAAACTACTGAACTGTAACGTAAGTGAAAAAAAGTCCCACGAAGATCTGATTTCAGACAATGTAGCCATTCTCACCCGCATATTTTAAACATCCAGTACCCTTTTTATTTTCATTTCTCGGTGTCCCTGAATTGAGGGGTCCAAAACACACAACTCGGTTGGGTATATTGCAGCAGAGAAGGCCCTAGTGGATGGAGCTCCCCACAAACAAGCTATGATAATCTCCGTCCCTCAGATTCTTGCTCTGTAAATTGGTTGAGCTAACTCCTGCATTGTGGGGGGTAAAGTCAGTTCCTAGTTAAGGGCTGAAAAACTGTGTTTTCGGTAATCAGAGCCCCAGGATTGAGGTCTCTTCTCTGGCCCTACATTACTGCGACACCTTCCTCTTCCTCCTCCTCCCCCGTTTCTCAGGTGATAAGGCTGGGTTGCAGCTTTCCTGAAATCACTCCTCCCCGGTGACTGACTGTTGGTGACTTCCGGGCCACCTCCTGCAAAGAGGTTCCTCCCGAATCGACGACCTTAGGTTGTGGCGCTCTGGCATCCCGACCCCGCCCCTCCCCGCCGCCGGGCCGCCGCCAAACCCCGGCGCGCGGATCACGCGGGACGGAGCCGCTCTGGGCATGCTCAGTGGCCCGGCAGGTGGGGCCGCCGCGGGACGCCAGGTCCGGCCGGGAGCAGAGGGGCGGGGGCAGAGAGAGGGAAGTGGGCGGGAGCTGAGGGCAGAGTCGCGAGAGTCGCCGGCGATCGCGGGGCGCTGGGCAGGTGGGAGCCCGCGCGGGCCGGGCCGGGATGAGCAATGGCATCAGTCAAGGTGGCCGTGAGGGTCCGGCCCATGAATCGCAGGTGAGTTGGGGGAGGCCATAGGCGGCCCCCCGATGCGCCCCCACCCAGAGGAGCCTAGTCTCCAATTCCCCTCAAAGGCCAGCCTGGACTTAAGTGTCACTGGATGGTCTCTGGCCCACTGGTCCCTGGCTGTGGCCTCTGGGGGCCTGGAGCACTTCACGCTTTGCTGTCCCTTTTACGCTGCCCTGTTGGGGACAGCTCTGGGGATACAGAGTTCACGAGGCCATGAGAAGAGTCCTGTCCCACTAACTTGTGGAGGTTTACATGTTTCCCCTTTTCAGAAGCGTCAGGGGATCACTTTCATGAAGGCTTAAAATCCTTCTGGGGGAATATGAGAGGTCATGGGACACCACAGCTGTCAAGCGAACTCCCCTCAATTGTGTCAACTCAGAAGTTCTCTGTTACCAACAATATTTTTAATTGCTTAGTGAGAGATGATTTCAATTCCCTGAATGTGAACCCTGACTTCTAATAGGTAACTGAGCAGTTCTTAACTTTCATTCAAGAGTAGATGGGAAACTTCAGCAAAGTTTTCACTTCAGGGGAAAACAAAATCAAAGACACTTAGGCACACGTGTTGGAAATCTGCTGGTGTTAGGAGATGGGAAGAGTTATAAACACATTTAGAATCCAGTCTTGTATTTTTCTACAAAGTAATGCTTTTCAGAATGATTTGACTCTTTATTCTTTGAAAAATAATCCCAGCTTCCTTCTCAATGACTTCTTTATAATCAGTATAGAAAGATGCTTTAGAAGAGTTACTGTTTAAATTGGTTTAACTTTAAAGAATGAAGTAGACCTAAATGGGATGTGTCCTTCGGAGTTGACAGGCCCAGTTCACACAAGTCCATTTGTTTTTATTGGCTTCTCAGTCAAGTTGTTGGACATTTGATTTACCATATGGCCTTTCCACTTTCTCATATCAACTTGTGGAGGTCATTGTTTGGTGGTTCTGACAGCTGATTGGGGCATCCAAAGATCATAAAATCAAGTTATTGCCAGAATCTTCTTTGACTCACCTGAATCTGTTTTTTCTGTTGGCAAATAGGGAATCATTACTCTGGTTTGTAACTGTTGAAAACCAGCGCTTTTGTCGTTTTTAAGTTATTTGTAAAGCTTTTTAGGAAGGAGTTTGACTTTTTTGTAAGTCCAAAGAGAATATGGATGTTGCTATGTATATTCAGTCATACAAGACAAACAGACCCCAAAGTCATTTAGATGATTTAAAAAGACTTTTCTTTATTCTGGATTTACATGTATAAAGAAGTTCCTTTCTGTCTTTGGAATAACATGAACACATGCTAGAAGATTGTATTGGTAACTTTAGAAAGCACCTACCAAGTGCACAGCATTGTCCTGGGTGCTATATGGGGGATAAGGTGAATGAGGTTTAATGAGTGTCTTCTGAGAGCCTACTATCTAATGGGGGAGGGACTACATACTGGCAGGACTCTCCTAAAACATGGGGCTGGTTGGGAGTGATGATCCAAGTGTAGTCCTTTGTCAGTCGTAGGCCTGGAGCCCAGTTATATGGAGGGGCTGCAGGAAACGTCCAAAAGCCATGTGCTTTGAGGTGGTAGATTGAAGTGATGGTATTTGTACTTTCAGCAGAGAACTTTGGTGGTGGCATCAGGATTAGGGCAAGAGCTAAGGAAGTAGCAGTCTGAACCAAAGGCATAAATGGGAAGGCTGGATAGATACACCGAGACAGTTTCCTGGAAGAATTGAGAGGATTTTGCTGATCCTTGGATGGGAAGGAGGGGAAAGGGGAGAACGTAGAACCATTAACTGAGGTTTGATGGTCAAGGAGGTGGAAGAGGTTTGGGGACGGTGGATAGTGAGGTTGGTGTATTCTCTCTTGGATCCCTAGAGTCATATGAGATACAGTAAGTGTTAAGAACAAGCACAGTGTTGTCACAGAATGAGTGCTGCCCTCGTATTGACCCTGTTGATCTATCTGAAGTGTGGGGAGGGCATCTGTCTCTTTGGTGATGTTCAGTAGCATGTTAGAAACATGGGTTTAGGTAATTTGAGGACTGACATTTGGAAAGCTTTTGCACACAGATGACAGTTTAAGAATGTTACAGTGAGGGGCGCCTGGGTGGCTCAGTCGTTAAGCGTCTGCCTTTGGCTCAAGTCATGATCCCAGGGTCCTGGGATTGAGCCCCACATCGGGCTCCCTGCACAGTGGGAAGCCTGCTTCTCTCCCACTCCCCCTGCTTGTGTTCCCTCTCTCGCTGTGTCTCTCTCTGTGAAATAAATAAAATCTTTAAAAAAAAAAAAAAGAATGTTACAGTGAGGAGATTTCTCAGGAGAAGAAAATCTTATCTTTATGTGTATATGGACATACATGCACACATATGTATACACATATGTGTGTATATATAGAGAGAGCGGGTTAAAAACATGTTACAGTGAGAAGAAAAGGATTGGATACTGGGATATACTTTTCTTTAGAATTCTAGGGAGAAGATTGGCTTGCCCTTCGTGGAGGAACCAGCACAGCAAATTGTCATGGCAGGGAAAGGAGCAGTGTCTCTTGAAGGAGGTGGTGGTTGTTGGTGTCAGATGTTGCCAAGATGGTGCCCTGAGGGTGTAAGATGAGGTCCTTGGTCTTGGAGACAGGAACGTTGGTAACCTTCCAAAGGGCAGTTTCAAGGAGAGACAATGACCCAGAAGTTGGCAGTGAAATGGAAAGAGGCATACAAATGGCCAGCCAAAAGTACCTGACCTAAACATGCAAATTATAATAGCAGAAGAAACCATTTTTTATCAGTGAGATTGGTGGACGTTGACTGAACATCAAGTGCTGGTGAAGGAGTGGTGATGAAATCATCTAAAGGGTCAGAACCTCTGAAACTTTCTTATTGGGAAATTTGACAGGAACTGTCAAGATTAGAAATTTATAAACCCACCAATTGGGCAGTTTCATTTCTAAGAATTTATTTTATGCATTATATTCCTACCTACCAGGATGAACGTGGGATTGCAGATGTAAAATTTTTGTTCTGTTAATCTTTAGAGGAGTTTTAGGCAAAGAGGGAGCAACCAACAGAAAGCAAAGGCCTGGGGTATTAGAAGGTGAGGACTGCTGTTGCAGACTCTAAAAGGATGGAGGCACAGGGTGAAATGTGACCTTCTGAGCCAGGAGCCTTTGCAGTAACTAGTCCTTGCCAACAAACACCCAGTGCTTGATTCAGGCTAAGATGTGATGCCTTTATTTTTACTACCGTGGTGCTTTGGGTTATGTGGCAGAAGTAGTTTTGAAAGAGCCGTTACTTTGCATCACATCACAGCAGCTGCCTTTCCCGAGAGTTCCCTCTGTGGCAGTGGTACAAAATCTAATTTAATCTTTGTAACAGTCTTAGTAGGTACAGACTATTATTGTCATGCCGTAGTACAGATTGGGAGACATAGTAAACTTGCCTGAAGTCAATTTCTGAGGACGGTCACAGCTCTACTTTTTTGAAAATGAGTAAAACCTTCGCCAAAACAATTTGCTTATAGTTTTTTATGGGCACATTTTAACATTTATGTATTGTCTTTTTATGCCTTATGTATGTAGTCTTATGTATTCCTTTTTCTTTGTGATTTCTTCCACTGTTCTTAGGCCTGGCCTTTTCTTTTTTACTGGTTTCATTTTGTTATAATTTTACGAGATACTTTTTTTCCAACAAAATTCCAACAAAAATAATGATTTGGTAACTAATTTGTCCATTTCCTTTTGGTTTCACTTGTTTGTTTTTTTCATGGAAACACTAGATGATTCTGTCCCTCTTTTTTTTTTTTTTTTAAAAGAGAGTGTGAGAGTGCTGGGCCTGGACGGGCAGAGGGAGAGAGAGAATCTTAAATAGGCTCTATACTCAATGCAGAGCCTGATCTCACAACCCTAACATCATGACCTAAGCCGAAATCAAGAGTCCAACACTTAACCGACTGAGCCACCCAGGCGCCCCAGTAGATGATTCTCTACTGCCATTTATCCTGTCCCATTGATTTGCTAGTGTTAATGGGGCTGGGATCTGAGGGCAGACTGCGTAGGTTCCAGTATTGGCTGTCATTTACAAGCTGGGTCAAATTTGAGCAAGAGACTTAATTGTTCCAAACCTCAGTTTTTGCAGCTGTAAAATGGGTGATAGTAATTATACATACCTTATAGGTCTTGTTTCATATATATCTTTTACCATGATTCACAGACGACACATTTGAAAGCTCTATAGATATATAAAGGATTGAAGCTCTAGATAGATATGTAAAAGATTCATGAGGTGTTACATGCAGTTCACTCGTATTTTCTGTTCTGTTCTATTTTATTCTCTTGTCTTGTTAAAAAAATGCTATTTCTAGATCCACTAAATTGACTTCAAGATCTATTAATGATTTGCAGTTGGCAATATGAAGAACAACCGTTGTGAGGTTCAAAGGAGATCGTGCATGTGGATAACGCTCTCCACACAGTACCTGGCATGCAGCAAGGGCTCTGTAAAGATTGGTTATTGTTATTACTGTTATTTTTTATAATTTAATGATTGTGACTTTATTCAATGACAATATATGAGATGATTTTTTTTTTTTTACTAAAAAAATATTTACTGAGTGCTGGCAACAAGCCAGGTGATAGCTTTTTAATGTGCTTTCTTATCTGATAAGGCAAGACCACCTCATTCCTTCCCTTTTCTGACTGTTTTTAGCTTTTCTTTCTGATTCGCTTCTCAGGTGGAATTTACAGTCATGTTTAGCAAGTTAAAAAGAGAAGAAGGAAAAAAAATCACCATTGGTATTTTGACTGGGATTGACCTCTTTGGGGTATACTGAAGTCTCATTTTAAGAGTGTCAGGGACTAGTTCGCGGTGGTCTCTTGGATCTCTGATGAAGACAGCAGACGGCTTGGGTGTTAGGGTTGGGAGACATCTGTCTAGATGCTTCGAGGCATCAGGCATCATGCTCTTCTCTTTACCATGGCAACTTCCTTTCCTGCTCCCACCAACTGAGTGACTGAG